TCTCCCACTCCCCCTGCTTGTGTTCCCTCTCTCGCTGTGTCTCTCTCTGTCAAATAAATAAAATCTTTAAAATAAAAAAATATCTTACCAGGGTTTCTCAACACCCTTGGGAGAAAAGCCAGAGCCCTTTTTAAAAAAAATAAAAAAGTGTTGATTTAAGTACTGTATCATTCACAGTTCTGAAATTAAAATTTAAAGCTATAAAGGGCTCATAAAATGTGTAACATTTGGGGCACCTGGGTAGCTCAGTTGGTTAAGCGTCTGCCTTCGGCTCAGGTCATGATCCCAGGGTCTTGGGATTGAGCCTCACATTGGGCTCCCTGCTCAGCGGGGAGTCTGCTTCTCCCTCTCCCTTTGCCTCTGCCTGTCACTCCCCCTGCTTGTGCTCGCTTTCTCTCTGTCAAATAAATAAATGAAATCTTTAAAAAAAAACAAAGTGTAACATTTAACGTAAGATCTGTAGTTTGTACTTTGTTCAGTGATTGATGTAGGTTTTTTTGATGTTTCAGTTACAAGAAACTTTGCCCCAGAAAATGTTGGCAGCCTCCAGTGGAGTCAAACATACCATGACCCCAATTTATCCATGTTCTAACACATTAGTGGAAATGACTCTTGGGTAAGAAATTTATTATTTGGGGGCGTCTGGGTGGCTCAGTTGTTAAGCGTCTGCCTTCGGCTCAGGTCGTGATCCCAGGGTCCTGGGATCAAGACCCGCATCGGGCTCCCTGCTCTGCAGGAGGCCTGCTTCTCCCTCTCCCACTCCCCCTGGTTGTGTTCTGTCCCTCGCTGTGTCTCTCTCTGTCAAATAAATAAATAAAATCTTTAAAAAAAAATTTTTTTTAAATTAAAAAAAAAATTTTATTATTTGGTAACTATGATGTTTCCATTCATTTTTATTTCAGTTTGTGATCTTGCTCTTTTATTTTGAAATTTTGGGTATTTGTTGTGAATACATTTGCAAATGTTATTTAATGGCTTAGTCTAATCTAGAGAACTAAAACATAATAGAATTCTAAAACATTTCCATACTTTTTTGAGCAGAGACATTGATACTTGTTTTGTTTGTATAGTATGAAGAAATTAAAGGAAGAAATGGAAGGGGTGGTTAAAGAACTTGCTGAAAATAATCATATCTTAGAAAGGTAAGTAACACAAATATTATTCTGCCCTGTGATTTTTTTTATGCAAGGGAATACATATAGATCTATATTTGTACCTGTCTGTCTTCCTGTATCAGTAGGTTAAAGTAATGGGGAAAGGATATAAAGTCAGAACCCTTTTGTTTTGTGATTTCCATGGTGTCTTTTAATGTGTTTGGGGTTGCTTGGATAAAGACAAGTCAGCTGTGATCGATTCCATTTTATAGTAGCACTGGTTAATAGAATTATTTGCTTATTTGAATCAGTTTGTGAAAATGAAAATCTTTTGCACATTATTTTTCATACATCTCATTAGAATCGTAATTTATTGGGGTGCCTGGGTGGCTCAGTCGGTTAAACGTATGACTCGATTTTGGCTCAGGTCATGATCTCAGGTTCAGGAGATGGAGCCCTGCCTTAGGCTCCGTGCTCAGTGGGGAATCTGCTTGAGGATTTTTCTCCCTCTCCCTCTTCCCCTCCCCATGCTTGTTTGCTCTCTCTAAATAAATAAATAAATAAATATTTGAGAGTGTACATGCACAAGTTGGGGGTGGGGGGCAAAAGGAGAGGGAGAGAGAGAATCTCAAGCAGATGCCTCACTGAGCTCAGAGCCTGAGGCTGGGCTCAGTCTCCCAAACCTGAGATCATGACCTGAGCCAAAATCAAGAGTCCGAGGCTTAACCGACTAAGGCACCCAGGTGCCCCGAATGTTACCATTTTTAATGTTTGCTGATTTGTTTAGTAAAAACGGGTATCTTATTTTAATTTGCATTTCTTTGGTTAATAGTGATATGAAGCATCTTTTTATGTTTATTCAAATTTGTGTGTGTGTGTGTAAATTGCCTTTTGGTTTTAAAATCTTTTTTTCTATTGGTTTATAGCAATTACATAGTAATTATCTAACTTTTTTATAGTACCCAATTTAGTTTCTTCACAACTTGAGCTAAATATCAGCAAAAAGAGACTATTAAGATATGCTTTAACAAACTTATATTGAATCTCTTCTGCCTTGTGACATAAAATCCTCACTTCTTAAACCATGTCGCATAAGTCACTTTCCCCTATTTTATCTGCAAATTTATTTGACAATATATGGGTGATACAACATGGCATAATCATAGCTTAAATGTTAAATGACTGCTTAAGGATTTGTGCCAGAACTAATGAGCACTGTCTCCATGTGGCTGTCTTATTATCACTTCATTTCTTTTGTATCTAAAATCACATCATATCACCCTTCCCAACTCAGTTTCCCCTCCAATTTCCTCATTCTCTTCAGTGGAACCACCTTTTTCCTGCTCCCTTGAACATAGGTTATTTTATATACTAACTCTCTTTTTTACTGCCTTTCATCGAGTTTGGTAATCTTCCTTCAGAATGTTTCCATATTCCCCATCTTGGCCTCATCAGACCTCCTTCCTCCTCACATGGGAGCTGTGGTGATAACCTACCACCTATATTCCTAAGCCTAGGCTTTTCCCATCTGTCATGGCTATTAAGCCCAAACAATCTTCCCAAACACTGATCTACTGGCGTACTCCTTTGGCTCAAAAATTTCTAAACTCCTGTTACCTAAAAGGTCAAGTCTAAATTCACACTTGAATTCAAAGAATAGAATACTCTGGCCCAGCCCATTCACTCAACTTCCTACTAGTCCCCAAAATAACATTCTGTTCTAGCAAGGTTGCATTCCTTACTGTCCGTTGAGTATGTCAAACTCCCAACTCCTTATCTTTGCTTTTCTAAATCCCACCCCACCAAGAAGAAGTTATCCAGTTTTTCCTAATACTTTCTAGATCACATCCCTCACCCTTTTCTCTTAAGAAGTCCTCCCAAGGGGCGCCTGGGTGGCTCAGATGGTTAAGCGTCTGCCTCCGGCTCAGGTCAGGATCCCAGGGTCCTGGGATCGAGCCCCGCGTCGAGCTCCCTGCTCAGCGGGCAGCCTGCTTCACCTTCTCCCTCTGCTGTTCCCCCCTGCTTGTGCTCTCCGGCACATGCGCGCACTCTCTCTCTCTCTCTTTCTCTCTCTCTCTCTGTCAAATAAATAAATAAAAATCTTTGGGAAAAAAAAAAAGGAAGACCTCCCAAGCCACCGATTGGTATTTTTTTCACGTATTTATAATAATATCACTGTGTTTCAGTAAGAAATAGAGCAAATCATAGTTGCTTAAACTCTTTAACAGCTTGTTCATCTGAAAAGTCTCCTTTATTCTTCTTTAAAACATTGGGGGCCAAATAAATGAATCATCTGAGATTTCCTTTTTTCTTTTGTGTTTTAGGTTTGGCTCTTTAACCATGGATGGCGGCCTTCGCAATGTTGACTGTCTTTAGCTTTCTGGGAAGTTTGAGAACAGTTTTAATTTGCACAAGAAAATAATGTTGGGGCATTAAATGAATGCCTCTATAAGTGGTCTCTTATTTCTACAATTCAGTATTTGGTGTGGTCATGTAAATATGTACAATATTGTAAATACATAAAAAAATATATAAATTTTTGGCTGCTGTTAAGATGTAATTTTACCTTTTAACATTTATAATTAAATGAGGACATTTGACCTCAGTGAGCACTAGAAGAAAGCCATGATCTATGATATGTTGAAATACTAATCCTCTACTCTTCTGAGTGAGGCTGAGTTCTACATCTCTGACTGCCTACTGGAAACGTTTTTTAAATGGAACCAAAATTGTCATCCTTACAAATCAGAAAAGACTAATAGTTGACATGTTTATAAGTGATAGAATGGAGAAGTGGCTTCTTTGGGTAAGGAGCTGAACCAAACCACTGTTTTACTAGGATCACAATTTTGGGGGAAGGATAAAGTGACATTTCATTTTACAAGGTGCCCAGAACCCAGTTATCATCATATGTGTTTAATTTCAGATAAATTATTGAGCAGAATTTTTAAAGTGATGTAATTATTAAAAACTGTTCGTTTTATTTTGGCCATAAGTGTACAGCTGTCTTAAAGATTTTAGGATTATTTCCACTGTTTCAAGCTGTATATTTTTTGTTTAATTTAATTCCACTTCATCATGAAAAAATATCAATAAATTTCTCAGTTTTAATGTAAAAGTTTGTATTTTTCTGTGTACAACAGTTTGAGAAACAAAAGTCTTTTGAAAGAAATAATATCTGTGGTGATTGCAAATCATTCTCAGACTACTGGATATAAGGACAGTTCTGTTTCTCTTCTAAATCTGATTCTAATTTAGTATAAGTTCTCCAATTAATTTATGCTATCCGGGGGACGCCTGACTGAGCCACCCAGGCACCCCTGGGCATTCTTGCTTTTAATATTTTACCTTCAAAAATACAATCCTGGGGCGCCTGAGTGGCTCACTTGTTAAGTGTCTGCCTTCGGCTCAGGTCATGATCCCAGGGTCCTGGGATCAAGCCCCGCATCAGGCTCCCTGCTCAGCGGGAAGCCTGCTTCTCCCTCTCCCACTCCCCCTGCTTGTGTTCCCTCTCTCACTGTGTCTCTCTCTGTCAAATAAATTAAAAAAACAAAAACAAAAATATAGTCCTCATTCAGAACATTTTAAGTTAATGAATACATGGTGATACTAGTCTGCTAATCTAATAACCTAGTAAGTTACATCTACAGTTTAGTAGCCTTTTTTTCATTACTGAGATATATTTTCAAAAGGTAGGGATTAATGATATAAAAATAGTATACAGTTAGTGGATTTAACTCTTTACATAAGCTATAGTTCTAACAAGAAATAAAAAATGAAATAAGTGAACATAAAGCATATGGGAAAAAGGATGTTTTTGAGTAAATAAAAAAGGAATTAGAGGTTAGGGAAGAAATGTGAAAAATAATCCCATAACATCTTCTGAAGTTCCAGGTTCTATTATTTTGGAAATTACCAAATACTATATAATTGGCTTTTAGACCTAATTACACTATGTCAAGCAGGGTGCCTCTATTCTTAGATATAAAAGATCTTAAAATATTTATTTCAAAAAATATTTATCAATAAATTATCCAGAAAGGAATTATAATAATCTTGGATTTATCTTGCTTTCCTGTTACTTTTTTTAAGCAATAATTTCTGTGGTGTTCTGTGCTAAAAATAAGAGGTAAGTTGTTTGGAATTAAGAAAGGCACTATCAGTAGGAATAAGCAATCTCAACTGATATATCAAAAATTTATTCTCCCTTCAGAATCATAGTCACAACCAGGATTAGTCTGCTATTTCTGATTTCACCCCACTCAGAAATGCCTATTATACATTGTGCTTTGTCTTTCAGAAGTGCTGTAGGAAATTTACTCAAATGTTTAAAACTCAGAAGTGCTGAAAATATAAAGTATTGAAAATATAAAGGAGTTGTAACGCTATTGTTTTAGCTGGATCCATCAACCACATCCCATTTTTTTTAAAGATTTTATTTATTTGAGAGTGAGTGAGAGAGAGCATGAGCCGGGGGGAGGAGCAGAAGGAGAGGGAGAAGCAGACTCCCCACTGAGCTGGGACCCTGATTTGGGACTAGATCCCAGGGTCCTGGGATCATGACCTGAGCCAAGATGCTTAACTGACTGAGCCACCCAGGTGCCCCCACATCCCATTTTTAAGAGGACTAAAGTTGGGGCTCCTGGCTGGCCCAGAGAGCGTGCAACTCTTGATCTCGGGGTCATGAGTTTGAGCCCTAAATTGGGGGTAGAGATTACTAAAAACAAAACAAAAAAAAGACCAAAGTATCTTCAAAAGCCTTACACTTGTTTTATTTGGACTTCCTCCCCAGTTGTCACTTACAGGAAGACTCAAAGTCCAAATCCTAAGGAATACCAAAAATGGAATAGAAAACAAAGACACCGACGTGGAAATAAAAACTGGTAATAATATCGTTTGTGTTTTTTAGCATACAGATCACCAAAAATTTAGTGTGGTGTATAAAAGCACAACCCAAATATTACATCAGGATGTTTAGGGACTAAGCAAGCTATCATAAGTTTGACATAACAGAATGTGCAAGGACTAGTGGTTAAACATAGCTTCAGGTGAGAACCTCAGTCCCAGTTGCTTAGTAGAGAGCTAGACATTAGTGTCTGCTGAAATAATACACAATAATATTAAAGGTCTAGAAAAATATTCAACAAAGGGTCAAATTCCAAAACAGGACCCTAGAAAAAATCTTGTTCTTTTACACATTTCTTGGCTTGTAAGAATCAAATTTTTTTTTCTGGAATAAATTCCTGCCAGAGTTTAAAATACATAATCATGTTTTCACTGGAAAAATTTTTGGTCTGTACAGAGTAAAACATTTTTAATTTGTACAAAACAAATGCAATCCAGGCTATGGCTTTGGGAGGTAGCTCGTTAATCACCCAAGTCCTACAAATTGCATTGAAATTCTGCTGGATGCTGAACTTTAGTGGATACTGATTACTTCGCTCCTCTATGAAAGTAATTGTGTTTTTCTGAAGCGGTGGGGTGGGGGGTCTATGCTTAAAAATTATCAAGTGTTATAATAGGTTAGACTTTCTGAAGCTTAAAACTCTTTCTTTAGAAAGAACATCTATTAATACCAGTTTCTAGTTATGAGGGCTAAGGTCTAAAGGACAAACCAAAGGAATGACAGGGGAAGGGGATTTAGGGCTAACAGGTGGTCCCCAGACATATTGGCTGGAAGAGAGTTCACAGCTAAAGTGTCATATGTGGGTGTTACTGTGTTTTCCTCATCCATATACTCTGTAGGGAATCATTCTGGAACATTCATAGTTCTAGCTATGGCCATAAAAAGTGACTTCAACAAGACCTTCAGAAGAATAGCTCGTCTCTTTTACTGGTTCCCCAAATCACTGACCTGCTCAAAGAATCGGAAATCCAAATTGGTCTGGAGCCAAGGTAGAGGTAAGTTATCTCAAGCTAATGCTTCATTTCAAATGTTTTTTGTTTTTGGTTTGTTTTGATTTCTGTTACTAAAATGGAGCCTCCCTCAAGTATAGAGAGAAAATAAAGCTCTTAGGGGTGCCTGGGTGGCTCAGTCGTTAAGCATCTGCCTTCGGCTCGGGTCATGATCCCAGGGTCTTGGGATCGAGCCCCGCATCGGGCTCCCTGCTCCTCAGGAAGCCTGTTTCTCCCTCTCTCACTCTCTCTGCTTTAATAATAATAAAGCTCTTAAGGCATTATTTAACATGATTGAGTAAAAACTGAGAGAAAATGAAAGCAATTTGAAGGTGAGGTATTAAAAGCCGTGAACATTTCTGTAATTCCAACTTTATGCTTCATAGGCATTTAGGTTCAGAGAAGTTTTCTAGAGAAAGTTGGAGAATCCTTAGCTTTAAAAAAAAATAACAAAATAGCTTTTATTTTCAATGAACCTTAATTTGCTTATACAATTAAAATACCTCAGAACACACAGAAAAGAATAAATTAATGACAGTATGTTTCTCCTTTTCCTAGAAAACTAAAAAGGTCAATGGACCTTATATGTCTTAGGTTGGGGTCAGTTTATGCAGTATATTTTAGTCTGGGTTGTTTTTTTGTTTTTGTTTTTGTTTTTTGCTCTTTTTGGGGGGGTGGGGGGTTCAGTCAGGTTTTGATGTGAGATTTTAAAGTACCTTAAATACACTACTACATAAAGCTCTGTATTTTCTACCCAGTCCTGCCGATGGGAGTGTAGAAGGTCAGAGGAGAGGGGAATGAAGGGAGTAAATGGGCTCTCCAGGTCTGGTTTCTGGAGCGCCTGCTGCGGAGCTGGCCTTCACCTTCACGCTCTGCAGGCAGGAGGAGGGTTGGGCACAGCCCTGGAGCAAGGTGAGCAAGTTCTCTGTGTAATGCTTCAGGCTGCAGCAGGATTAAAATTACAGTCCTGTGTTCTTTGACACCCATATAGGTCTGCGTCTTATATAAGCACTTAACGTTTTCCCCTTGTCTGGTAGATTTTCAAACATCATCTGAGGATATGATACATGATCCAAAATCAGATCCTCTTTTTTTTTCTTCCCAAGTAAGTTCTAGGCCCAATGTCGGGCTTGAACTCACAACCCCTAAATCAAGAGTCACATGCTCTACCAAATGAACCAGCCAGGGGCCCCCAGATCTTCAATTAAAACAGAAATGACTGTGATCTATAATCACTAAGGAAGATATCTGATTAAGAAATCTACAAAATGTGAGTCCTAGTTATTTCAAGCATCTATTTTTCCTTTAATTTTTATTTTATTCTTTTTCACTGTCAAAATATGGGGAATCTAAATCGTTTCAAGGTCCCTCTGTTGATATGTATCATCCTTCGGATATGGAATAGCATAATTTGGATGTCAGAGCCCCAAGAGAACTTAGAAAAATCATCTTCTCTAATCCCTTCATCTTATTTTATTTTTTAAATTTTCTTTATTTATTGTAAGTGATCTTTACACCAAACGTGGGGCTCAAACTCATAACCCTGAGATCAAGATTCGCATGCTCTTCCGACTGAGCCAGACAGGCACCCCTCCAATCCTTTCATTTTAAAAATGAGTAAATTGCCTCCAAATGGTTAAATAACTTAGCCTTCCAAAACTCTTACGTGGGAAGAAACAGAAGTTTTTTGTTTTTTGTTTTTTTTTTTAAAGATTTATTTATTTATTTGAGAGAGCGAGAATGAGAGAGAGTACATGAGAGGGGGGAGGGTCAGAGGGAGAAGCAGGCTTCTCGCTGAGCAGGGAGCCCGATGCGGGACTCAATCCCGGGACTCCAGGATCATGACCTGAGCCGAAGGCAGTTGCTTAACCAACTGAGCCACCCAGGCGCCCCGAAGAACAGAAGTTTATCCTACATGATGACTCTTGATCCAGTGCTTTTGTTGTGGAACCACAGTGCAGTGTTCGGTGCGTGCGCATCAGACGATGTGAACCTAGAAACCCTCACGGAGTATCTCACACACAGCCTTCATCAGTGGGTCATCTTTCCCTAGAAAGTTTGGTGATTTCTTCTTCCAAAGCAGAGCTTGCTAGTATTCTCATTAGTTTGGAGATTAATTAGTTTGGAGATGAGCCTGTTTCCAGAACTCTTTTTACTTACAATCTGATGAAATAAAGTCTTTTGATGAGATAATACCCCATTCTAAGGAGATTATTTAAATATATGCCTTACAGGGGCTCCTGGCTGGCTCAGTCAGTTGAGGGCCTACTCTTTTTTTTTTTTTTTTTAAAGATTTTATTTATTTATTTGACAGAGAGAGACACAGCGAGAGAGGGAACACAAGCAGGGGGAGTGGTAGAGGGAGAAGCAGGCTTCGCACAGAGCAGGGAGCCCGATGCGGGGCTCGATCCCGGGACCCTGGGATCATGACCTGAGCCGAAGGCAGACGCTTAACGATTGAGCCACCCAGGCACCCCGGTTGAGGGCCTACTCTTGATTTTTGGCTCAGGTCATGATCTCAGGGTCCTCGGATGGAGCCCCATGTCGGGCTCCACACTCAGTGGGAAGTCTGCTTGAGGATACTCTCCCTCTCCCCCTGCCCCTCCCCCTGCTCATATGTGCGCACTCTCTCTCTCTAAAATGAATAAGTAAGGGGCCCCTGGATGCTTCAGTTGTTAAGCGTCTGCCTTCGGCTCAGGTCATGATCCCAGGGTCTGGGATCAAGTCCTGCGTCGGGCTCCCTGCTCAGCAGGAAGCCTGCTTCTCTCTCTCCCACTCCCTCCTGCTCTGCTCTATCTCTCGCTCTCAAATAAAGAAATAAAATTTATTAATTTATTTTTTAAAGATTTTATTTATTTGACAGAGACAGCGAGAGAGGGAACACAAGCCGGGGGAGTGGGAGAGGGAGAAGCAGGCATCCCGCTGAGCAGGGAGCCCGACAAGGGACTCGATCCCAGGACCCTGGGATCATGACCTGAGCTGAAGGCAGACACCCAACGGCTGAGCCACCCAGGCACCCCAATAAATAAAATTTTTAAAAAATAAAAATAAAATGAATAAATCTTAAAAAAAATAAATATATGCCTTACAGAATCATATCCCCTCAAAAGCAAGAACTCTCTCTTATCCTGTCTCCAGTGTTTAACACAATATTTTGTATAGTGGGCAGTTAATAGCTATTTTTCTTACTGAATTGACTTATGAAGACAGCCATATGGGACCTGAATTGTATGAATTAAGAATGAATTGACTCTTAGAAATCAGCTAGTCCCTTGCTCCAGCCTTTTGTGTAGATTGATGGATTGTGGCCACCTACAAAAGATGGCTCAACATCAGGTCACCTCTTCAGGATTAAACTCTTTCTGTCACTCATCAATATCTTAAGGTCTAAAGGCGCCACAGAAATTTGTCAAGGGTTCCCTACGTACCTCTACCCCAACCAACCCCACATGAAAACTTACATGGTCTCAAGGCAGGACCAATGACTGATATTTTAATACTAATTAAGTGCATATAACTTTAGCTCACTCTCCTTTATTTCTTCTCTATCTCCCCACCTTAGAAAGCAGTAAGTTATACCAAAGCATAAACTAGGAAGAAATACAGACAGACAGTCACAAATCTGAATTCAGTACATATTTTAAGCACCTCATTAATCTATGGTCTTGAAGGGAAAGAATGGGGAGAGGTGTATGAGCAAATCCACGTTCAGTGGCTTGGAGCCCTTTCTAATCAAGTTGAGAAACCTCAGCTATGTGTGAAAACCACAGAGCTCAGAAGCCTGGGCGTCCGAGGGGGAGAGCACAGGACTGTGGTGTCAGACCTTGCTTCTGCTGCTGAGAACTCCGTGGCTCCGAGCATGCCACTGGGATTTCTCATCTGTAAAACGTAAGGATTGGGCTTGATCTTAAAGATTCCTTCCCACTTCGTAAATGCCGTGACCCTAAGGTACAGTAATATAGATAAAGCAGCTGCATAGTTGCTGAAGAGAGCAGAGAAAGGGGAAGGTTTCTGGAAGTCAAATAGCAAGTCACCAAGTATCTACAGAAACAGGACTGCCTCATGAATCGTCCATGTATCTGAGAGCTTACGTGAAATCCTGTTTAAGGAGCTTATGTATCAAATGCATTACATGCTCTTTTTCTAAACAAATGTGAGATCTAGACTCTCCATACATAAGGATGAGCCCTAACCCTTAGGCTCCTACATGTTGAAATTGGCCTTGTTTTGAGATTAGTCTCAGAGAAGGAAGGGTACCAGGGGGCTCTTTTATACCAAGGATCTCCTCTGGTCCTCCCTCTCACCTTTTTGCCCCAGGTTTTAGCAGTTAGCTCAGTGAAATTTGGTGGCTGAATGAAAGTCTCTTGCTTCCTATAAGGAGGCAGATATGAGCACATCTGGAATACACAGAAAACCACCTCCCTCGCATGGGGAAGAAGACAAAGGGGAGAGCTGCTCACCAGACAGCATCCCATTTGTTCCCAGTGTTGCATGGCTTCCTCATGGGCAGCTCTGTAGAGGAGGAACCCTGATGAGGACACCCCCCCAACCACAAATGAAGAATAGAGAGTAGGGTGTAATCTCCTGGTAGCATTCATTCTCTGTCCATCAGTGAGGCAACAGGTGGGCTAATGGACAAGATGGCGTCACAGAATCTATAAGGCCTATCCTGTACTTAGTGGTGTATGAGAAGCAAACTCTCTCTGACTCTGAGAGGGAGCAAGCTCAACACCAATATGACACTATCACCATCAAACGCTGATTATCTTCCCTCTGCAAGGACAAGGGAGAAAGTTGAGATGCAGAAAAAAAGTATATTTTCACACACACACACACACACACACACACACACACAAGAAGAGTTCTCACAGATGATTTAAACAATAATTGAAGCCCTTAACAATATTACCAAGCCAGGGGGCGCCTGGGTGGCTCAGTCGGTTAAGCGACTGCCTTCGGCTCAGGTCATGATCCCAGGGTCCTGGGATCGAGTCCCGCATCGGGCT